ACCCACGGCGGCACCGGTGGGACACCCACGGCGGCACCGGTGGGGCACCCAGGGTGACACCGGTGGGACACCCACGGCGGCACCGGTGGGACACCCAGGGTGACACCGGTGGGACACCGAGGGTGGCACCGGTGGGACACCCAGGGCGGCACCGGTGGGACACCCAGGGCGACACCGGTGGGACACCGAGGGTGACACCGGTGGGACACCCAGGGTGACACCGGTGGGACACCCAGGGCGGCACCGGTGGGACACCCAGGGTGACACCGGTGGGACACCGAGGGTGACACCGGTGGGACACCCACGGCGGCACCGGTGGGACACCCAGGGTGGCACCCGGACAGAGCCCAGGGAAGGCACGGCCGCAGGGACGCTCCGGAGCATCTCTCAGGAGAGGCTGTGGGAGCTGTGTGCAGCAGAGGAGACTGAGAGGGGATCTCATCAGCCCATACCAACATCTCCAAGGGGTGCCAGGGGGATGGTGCCAGGCTCTTGTTGGTGGTGCCCAGTGCCAGGATGAAGAGGGATGGCCGTAGACAAAACCACAAGAAGTTTCACCTCAACATGAGGAGGAGCTGCTTTCCATGGAGGGTGGCAGAACTCTGGAACTGCCCAGGGAGGCCGTGGATTCTCCCTCCAGTGCCACCCCTGCCATGCCAGGGACGCCTTCCTCTGTCCCAGGCTGTTCCAAGCCCCTCCAGCCTGGCCTTGGGCACTGCCAGGGATCCGGGGGCAGCCACAGCTGCTCTGGGCACCCTGTGCCAGGGCCTGCCCACCTATGAGTAAAGAATTTCCCCCTAACACCTAACCCAAATCCAACCTCTTTCAGTTTTATTCTACCAAAGCCTTTGAGAAAACATTTAATATTTTAAAATCCACTTCTAGTGAGCTCCTAGATGCCATTATTATTTTCTCTAAGCTATGAGTGGGATATATATCTATCTAGATCTAGATCTAGATCTAGATATATAAAATAATAATCACAGATTGCAAGAACTGAAAGCTTTTAACCAGAAGATTACATTGAAGAAAACCCAGCAGTACAAACCTGACCAAGGCTTCAGGAAAGCTTTATGTAAGAGCACACAGGGCCAAGAACCAGGCAGGGCTTTGCCAAAAAGAGGAACAGACAAAAGTGGCTGAAAATAAACGCAGAGCACAAATAAAATTTACCCTTACAAAGGGTTGGATGCAATCTGCTAATTTCTGCAGGAAGGATCTAATTTTGGAGCAAATGAGATAGAAGAAGTGGGTAAAAAAGAAAAAAAAAAAAAGGTGTGTAATTGCCACGTGAATGGCACAGTCCTGGCAGCTTCAGAAGTAAGAGCAGATAGTGCACACAGCCCAGCTTCTGGATTTAATTGACACCATATTTTAATTCAAAATCAGGTCACCTTTTTTCAGAAATGTTCATGCTTCTTGACAAGCTTTAGATATGCTCTGAACTTGTATATAACTTAATAAAAAAACTTCATTTTCCCCCCAATAATAGCTTGCTATTTTAGTCAAAGTGACAGAAAAGGAGAGCCTTGTGAACACAACACTGGAGCTTGCAATGGCACATTCCTCACATTTCTCATGAAAGGGATTGCTTTAAGACACCTTAAAATATCAATACAATTTGGTTTTTAAGAAGTTCTATGTCATCTCTGTCAGCTCAGTGTCACCATTGAAATACCAAGTTATACACATATTTTTGTTAATAATACTGCATTAAAATATGAGATCTCTCCATGCAGTCACTGTAATGGGGAAAAGCTGTCCCAAATCAAGCAAAACCAAACATTTTCCCTTTTTCTGTGTTAAGGATTTGCTAACAAGAAATCCTCCCAAACACAGATGTTTTAGGGAGTAACGTGGGCCTGACAGAGCTGAGATCTGGTGACAGTGCTGGCAGCTGCACTTGCCACTCCTGCCTTAATTTGGGCAGATCTGGATGAATCATGTCCTTAACATGTGATTGGAGATGACTTTTACTGCATCAGCGTGCCCAGACTGTAACCACGCTGAGGGTTTTAAACGAGGCTCTTTAAACTGTGCCAGCTCCTCCGTGGGTGAAAAGGAGCATTTCAAGAGGTTCTATTAATAAAAGCCTTGCCCTTGCTGAGCCTCCTGGACTGTGCCAAAGCAGCATTAAAAGATTTAAATCTATTACTGTGAGATGTCCCATTTCCTTCTGCCACCAAATAACAGGTGACAACAACTCACTGCAGCTCTGTAATCCCCCAAGGTTTCACACAGCACCAGAGCCAGAGGGAGGGAAGGGATTCTTGCCAGGAATGTGAATTTGGTTTTAATTTAACAATCTTCAAAGTTTAATAGTAAAGTTAAAAAATACAAATTTGATTGCTGGGCTTTATCTGGGGATTTCAGGTTGGATATTAATGGCTGTGGGAAGGATCAGGGAATCACAGAATTAGAATGGTTTGGGTTGGAAGGCCTAAAGATCATTTATTTCCAATCCCCTGCCATTGGCAGGGACACCTTCCCCTATCCCAGATTATTCCAAGCCCCAATGTCCAACCTGGCCTTGGACACTTCCAGGGATCCAAGGGCAGCCACAGCTTCCCTGGGAACCTTGTGCCAGGGCCTCACCTCCCTCATAGGGAGGAATTTCTTCCCAAAATCCCATCTAACCCTGCCCTCTGCCAGTGGGAAGCCATTCCCAGTGTCCTGTCGCTCCAGGCCCTTGTGAACAGCCTCTCTCTTTCTTGTCAGCCCCTTCAGGCACTGAAAAGCCACAATTAGGTGACCTCAAAACTTCTCTTTTCCAGGCTGCACGACCCCAAATTCTCTCAGCCTTTCCTCACAGGATGCTCCATCCCTCAGATCATCCTGGTGCCCCTCTGGCCTCGCTGCTGGGCACAGCCTATTTTAGGTGAGATAAAAGATGACTTCTTCAACTGCGTTGCCTAATCTTGGATGTAATACAATCAAAGTCATCTCTCACTGCTGGGTTTCAGGCTGAGAGCTGATTTAAACACACTTCAGAAGTGTAATCTAAATGTTCTCTCTGCACCACGGGCTGAAGGATTGTCAGCAGAGTTCACACTTTGGCTCCAGAGCGTTGCACAGAAACAGCAGAACCAGATGTTGTCATTTCCTCTTCCCTCCCAGCCCTTGCACAGCCCGGCTTTTATCTCATCCCCTCCCTTCCCTGCCCTGCCACGCCACCAGCTCCGCGTTTCCACCCAGGCCACCAGGCTTTATTTTCAGGAAATGTCAGCAAATTGACCTTTAAAACATAATAGCTGCTGTTACTTCCTGGGCTCAGTACTCAGACACAGCTCAATGAGTTCATTGAGGGCGAGGAAAGGATCATTAATTACGCCAGCAGCAGCAGCAGCAGCAAGCTACCATGTTAAGTTTCTTAAATGTAAATGTATCCTAGAAAATTACCCCCTGCTTGATTTGCCTCCTCCTCCTCCTCTCACCACCCCCAGGCATGAATCAGGAGCAGCGCGATGGAGATCCCCAGGGACATGCAGATGTATAATAATATTGAGTTTTGTTTTGCTCTCACTTACAAAAATGAAAACTGTTATAATAATTGGAGTATTTTCTTTGGGAATATGATGCCTTAATGAAGTACTTTAACAAGTTATTGAGAAAATAAAAACTTACCTGTGGAAACACCTTTATGGCATCACAATTAACTTGCAGGAAATCCAGAGGGGAGTGAATTCACTCTGTGGTGTTCTCTGTAACATGGGAATGCTTGTGTCAGAGCACAGAGAAAATGCATTAGATATGTGGGTTTGTCTCAATTTTACTGTATAAAAGATGTAACTTTTTACCCCTTGAGCTGCTTGACTTGTGGAAACCTCCACCTTGCAGCTTGTGCAGAATAAACACCTCATTTCAAACCAGACTCTGCCTGTTTAGAGAGCTCCCAAAATCAGTAACCCCACCAAGCCACTGCCCGTGGTCACCTGTACCTCACCAGGAACAAGTGTGGCCAGCTCCATTAGTCACAGGATCATTAAAGTCAGAAAAGACTTCCAAGACCATCAAGTCCAACCTGTGACCAATCACCAAACCCTAGTGCAAAGAGCCATGTCTGCCTGTTTTTGGCACACTTTCATGCATGATGACTCCACTGCTTCCCTGGTCAGACCCTTCCAATGCTTCACCACTCTTTCAGTGCAGAAATTTGTCCTGATGTTAGCCCTGCCCCAGCCTGAGCCGTTCCCTCTCCTCCCGTCCATGTTCCCTGGAGCAGAGCCTGAATCCCCAGCTGTCCTGTCAGGAGTTGTGCTGAGCCAGAAGTTCCCTCTGAGCCTCCTTTTCTCCAGGCTGAGCCCCTTCCCAGCTCCCTCAGCCCCTTCCCAGCTCCATTCCCTGCCCTGGACACGCTCCAGCCCTCCAGGTCTTGCTTGGCATGAGGGGCCCAGAACTGACCCCAGGGTTGGCGGCGCCTCAGCAGTGCCAGCACAGAGAGAAAACCTCTGTTCCCTTATCTAGCCCACCTCAGGGCTGCAGAGGCCCAGGCGCAGCCCACGCCCTCGCAGTTTGCGGCCTGGCTGCTCTGCGGGGCACTTCGGGCAGCAGCCTGGCCACCGCGCGGACCCTTCCCTCCCCGGAAC